TCGTCGTCCCTCCTCCGTCCCGTTGTGCGTTCCCACTCTCCTTTCCGTTCGTTTCGTTTCCGTGTCACTGGGAACGCCCCGTTGTTCGTTCCCACTCTCCATCCCGTTTGTTTCCGACACAGCTCTCGGCGCACTCCCACCCCCTATTATATGGGTCTGGGCTGTGGGCGCGCCCTCCCACCCCCACGCCCCCACCTACTATTTGATTAATTATTGTTTCATTCCGCGTCCCGCGTCGTCCCCCCGTCGCGTAGGAGGGTGCTCCGAGCGATCTCACCCCGAGCGTGCTAGCCTTGTGTGGTGTTATACCCGTTTTGGACGACGGGGATAGCAGCGGGCGAGAGCTCGCGTCGCATCCGCATCGCATCATAATTTAGAGATGTGTTTTGGCGGGTGGGAAGTCCGAGATGTGGGTGGGAGCCGGGTGCAGATGGGCGGGCGGGGGCCGAATAATGGGCCCGAGGGCGCACGGGGCGCGACGCACGGTCGGTGGGCCGACGAACGTGTTTCTTTTTGGGCTGGGAGCGCTAACTAACTATACTCGCTGCGCACTTCCTTTCTTGCTTATTCTTCTCTTTCTATCTGCCTACTCACTCCCCAACCCTCCCGTACGATCGCTAACCCTTCACTCCCCTTACAGGCCCTGACGGCGATGCGGCAGCTGCACTCGGAGGGCGCGGTGCTGCGGGAGCTGATCGACCAGTTCGAGGCGGCCGAGGCGTGGTTGGCGCCGATGCGGCCTTAGGCTTGGGCTCTGGACTTGTTCACTCGCCTTTGGGGAACTAGTAGGGGACTTGTGTTCGCGTGCTACGCACAAAATGATATCTGGATCGGCGCGTTTCGTCAATCACTCTCACTCGTCACTATTAACACGCGCAAGGACTTCGAGGCCAGACTGCCAGCGAGCGAGAAGGTAGGGGATATTATTGGGACGCCGCAAGGACGCCGGGGGCGAGCCTGAGCATGTGAAGCACACCACCAGGGTCCAGCTGGCAGCAGCATCCGAGACCGGGGTGCGTATGTAAGCATGCGGCTCGTCGTGGGATGCGCGTCGCCCGGATGGGGGTTGCGACAAGACAAGTGCGAGCCAGGACCGCATTGGGACGTTGGTGTGAGAACGCCGGATTGGGGCAGATCGGCACACGCTTTACCTTCCCATCGTAAGCGAGACGTCAGATGGGATCTTGCTCGCCAGCTAAATCTGCGCGCGCTGGATGGGGAAGGAGGCGAAAGGAGAATTTTGGCAAGTGATTTCGGATTCGGAGCGGTGCTACGCCAACTGACTTTCCCCCCAACACCCACTTTAGACCCGGTATATAAGGACGCGGGGTGCGGGGCTGGGCCCCTCCCTGTTTTTCGAAAGGCTGGCTGGTCCGACTCGCTGCTGCTCCGCCTTTGTATCCTCGACTAGCTGAGGACTCAACGACCTGACGATATACTTATCATGCTGCTGTACCCGCCACACACACCGCTCGCGTCGACGTCGTCGTCGTCGCTCGACATCGAAATGGGGCTCGACGATAAACACCCCGCCGACTTGGCGCATGCAGGGATCAGGGTCATCCAGCTCGTCGAGATCCCCGCGCCCCCCCGCCACACGCTGCCGCCGTCGTCCGCGTCGCCTTCCACTTCCACCACCTCATCATCTGCGTATTCATCCTCCTGCTCGTCCTCCCTCTGCTCTGCCGACGACGATGAAGCAGAGGAAGGGTCGTACTGCTCCAGCATGGACGACGGCGAAGAAGAGGACGAGCGGGTAAGGGAGCGCGCGGCCGCGGCGCTCAAGGTGCGCCGCATCCTCGCGTGGCGCGCGCAGTTCGCCTCCGCTCCCCCTTCGCCTGTTGAGCCCGCTCTGCCCCCGGTGCCGATCGTGGTGGCGCCCCCGCAGTTTTGTATGTCTTCTCCCTTTGTTCACGTACTGCGCGAAGGCTGATGTATTGGGTCGTGTATAGCCTCGCGCAAACGCTCGTCGTCGTCATCAGAGGCAGAGGGCTCCCGCGCGTCGAAGCGCTCGCGCACCTCCCCATACGCTTCCCCATCTCCCTCCCCCTCCATCGCCTCACACTCCCAATTACGAATGCAAGATGAGAACGAGGACGACACGCCGCGGCGCCGGCCCGCGCTCCTCCTCACCCCGCCCTCGCCTACCGCGCTCGCGCTCGCGCGGAGGCACACCTCGCCAAAGTCTGCAAGGCTGCGGTGGCTCTCACCCTCGCCTCTTTCTTCCTCCTCATCGGTTTCCCCGCCATCACCCTCCTCTCCGTCTCATCATCGAACCCGCTCCCTCCTCGAACGCGGGGAGACCGTCTGCCCCGCGTGCGACCGACAGTTCGTGAGCGCGCGGGCGTTCCGGATGCATGCTCTAGCAGGGGACGCAATGGACGAGACAAAGACGGCCTGCGGCGCGGCGGTGGCGTATGCGCTGGAGGAGGCACGGGGCGCTGTATAGGCGCTTCCCACTCCAAGGCCCGCATTCCCGCCTTCGCCACACCGCCGTGCACATTCGCACACCCACGCTGGTCTCTTCCGCCTTGGTGCTCCGCCGGCCACTGAGCCCCGTCGACCCTGCAGCCCACGCGCGCACCTCCCACGCTTGCTCAATCTTGAAGCGCACGCCGCGAAGCGAGGGCCGTGTCTCCCCCGACCTCCCACGTCCGCTACCCTACGCGACGCTCTCCACCCTCCCACCGCTAGGCTAAGCGCCGCACCCTGGTCCTCCTCGCTTGGTGCAGGCCGTGTGGGCCGTCCTCCGAGGCTCTCACGCGCTGCCCACACGTCTGCGCTAAGCGGCGCACAAGGCTCAGGCGCTTAGCGTCGTCGTGTCCCACGGGCCTAGGCGACGGTCGCCGGTGTCGTTGCCATCTTCCTGTCCCAGGCGCGACTGGGCGCCGTCGTGGCGACCGTCGACGGGCGTGGGACTTGGACGACGGGGTCACATCGCGCGGCGGGACATCCTTCCTCCGTTGCTCGTGTCTGCATCTTATCAATTAATCTCTTGCTCTTGCTCTCGCACACTGTCTTCTCCGTTCCCCGCATCTCGTCTCATCCTCATCACGCCACCCTTCTTGCATTATCTCGCCTTCTTGCTCTCGCACAATTGTCTCTTATTTACATCTCATATCTTCGAACGCCGTACTTATCCTCGCGCCTAACGCGCTACCTACTACCGCAAAGAAAGAAATAATTGTAATTGTACCTGTAGATAACACCTAGCTTGTATAGCTGTATATTCTCAAACAATAAGTTTGCTGCGATTGTTCTCTCATGGTGTGGAGTCTTTGAGCGAGTGAGCTATTGTGAGGTTGCGAGGGAAGGAGGGCTGAGATCCGGGGTATTATCTACGCGTGCGCGAAATTAATTAATTTAACGATCGAGCGCCGGAGGTGGAGGCAAAACGGGGATGTGAGCGGTGGGTCCAGCCGCCCGTATCCCGCGTGGGGTGTGTGCGGCGCGCGGGGTGTGTGGGGTTGGATAACGATAAGCGTAAAATCGACGTACTGCAAGCGTACTGGGAGGTCCCCACCGGCGCCGGCGGCGGTGTGTGGGTTCAATCGTAATGCTGGTTATGAGTCGATTCGTGTCGTTGTCCGAGTCCGAGTCATCGCGAGCCTTTCTTCCTCAAGCTTTCTCCGTCGCGACGTTCTTCAAGGTTCAAAAAACAAAAACAAAAAAAACAAAAAAAGAAATTAGAGAAGACGGGAAGCTCAATTTAAGAGAGAGCGACGGAGACAAAGTGAAAATGAGTCACGACTCGAGATCAGGTTCTTTTTTCTCTTCTCCTCGTTCCAACCCACGCCGGAGCCTGGATCACCACGCTCACTTTGAAATTTTTCCCAAGCTCAAGAAAGGAAAGAGAGAGGACTGGAGAAAATAATGCCCGCTCTCGTCTGGTATGACTCGACCTTTTTTCTGTCCCGCCCGGACCCAGGATCACCACGTTCCCGTCCATGTTCGAAAAAAGCCAAACGCGCGCTCAGCATCCTCTTTCTTCCCTGGGACCCTGAGCATGAGAGAAAGGCTGAGGTTGAAAGCAACGTTAATATTCGTGCCTGCCCGGTACTTTGCGTGGTTGATTCTGGGTTGATTGATCATTGCCACTTAGGGGCATCGATCATCTCGAGCCTGAAATTTTGCAATGGTGATGCTCGGGCACGCCTCGGTCCTCTTTATGGTAATACTTGGTCCTTTGTATGGTTATAGTATTACGCACTGTCTTCTTTATTCTTCCCGACCATTCCGGCCGTCCGCGTCCCCACATCCCCATGCCCTTCCCCGCCATCCCCGCGTTCAAGTTCAAAAACAGTCGAGTCTCCCACCGTTGTCCCACCCTGATGTTTGACGTATTCTGTTGAACCAACTTCCCGGAGGCATGGGTTGGTTTCGCCGACGGCAAAACGCCAACGACCAAGTTGGGACGAAAAACGTGTTTGTTTGAAGTGCGCATGAATATGGCAACCGCAACAGCAACAGCAACCCTCTCACCCTGACTGACTTCCCTACTGTGCTTCTTTGCCTTTGCCCTTGCGCGACTTTTGTGCGCGATGCCGGCACTTGCCCTTTCGCATCCCCGACGCTCGCGGCGCCAATTTATCAATCCAATCTAATCAGTGGCAATCCCTGAGCCGATTAATTAAGGGCTTGGCTTGGCTCACCATCTACTTATATCGCCCACTGCCATCAGTATCGAGCCAGAGGTGGATCGGCGCGAGCGCGGGCGCGATACAGGCGGCCGATGATCGGCGCAGACCGATCCGGTCGTGGCGCCCGTCGTACCGCGTCGTACGCGTTGAAGGTTGAAGGTTGACATTTATTAATTTTGATTTGATCGAATGTTGGAAACGGATTTTTTTCAACCACTGGCAGCACAGCCACGGGGTTCACCTCCTTGGCGAGCGAGGGCATGCTGTACGACCGCTGAGAGATCGGAGGCGGGGACTTGAGGGAGAAAGGAAGGAGATCTAGAGTAAATAAAGATAAAAAAAATAAGAAATGGAGGTGGATGGCCTAGCCTTGAGTCGAACAAGGGGTTTCTGCTAAATGTTCCTCCTGACTCATATAGCGCAGCTGTGTTACCACTACACCACTAAGCCATTATTGGATTCTCCCCGTGCAAGGATACACGGACGAATTAGTGTTGTAACACAAAAAAAAGGGCCTCGCCTTGAAAAAAGGGAGCAGCGGTTGAAATCACACCTGAATAAATTCAACCCGACACCGCCACGACACGTTCGATTCCAATGCGAGGGCTATAGAAGGCTCTCGAGGTCTTAATACTTTGAAAGGATGAAATATGGCTTTCGGAAGACCGGGAGCGTGAATAATAATATAATGCATGTACGTCCGATGCTTCTGAGTGAATTCCACACAGGCCGCGACGCATCGTACTTATCAAATTCAACCCCACGCTCCCCGGCGCAAACCCACGACGGCGCCTCGCATAAATGCGTCCATAAATAAACCAAGTTACGCCGATACTGGGAACCATTCGCGCCCGGGGGATCTGGGGCTTGCGTTTGGCGGAGGGTCGGAACTTTGCGTTCGCGGCACGATCACGCACCGACGACGTCGGCGCCAATACGGCACCAAAAGAAGAAGACAAAGCAAGCCCGAGACCCAAAGTATCCGGCATACAGGGAGCGCAAACTTAGAAGGAGAATAGTGACCACCCGCGCAATAACTAGAACTTGAACGTAAATTGGAACTTCAAAATGACCCGGTCCCGCGAAGGAGTAAACCGACGCGCAACGCCCATCGCGGACACATCCCTGGGAAATCGTGGTGTTGGCTGGATATGTCATAGCTCTGGCGCAGGGATGTGCATTTCAATTGAGTTCGGTGCCATTTTTCGGTGCCATTTTACTGTAAGGTTATTTTCTTGGCAGATTTAGCGCCCGCTTTGCGTGCGAATCGTGATCATGCAGAAATTCAACCACGCACAATCACGCCATCTTCGTGGCTCGGAGCTTCACCAATGAGTCTCCTCTCCGATGGTCTGCAAGATATACATTAGTGTGCCTCGCCGGTCCCACGCGAAAGATGCCAAGTTCCCAGCGTCGGCGTAACTCGATTTATTTATGCACGCGATCCGGCGTTGCGCCGCGCCGCGCTGCACTCCCATGCGCGGGCACCGGCATGCGTTCGTTCGGTGGATCGCGGGAGCATGAGATTGGATTCTGCTCGACACGATTTTAATCCAAGTAGAATTGTTTTTGAAGTCCAACCTTCACGTGCGTTCGTTGATTTTCTTTGTCTTTTTCACGGGACCTATGTACGAAACGGAACCGGATACGGCCCGCGAAGCTTCACGGCGCGGACCAAGAAACGAAGGAACAGCGGGTCTGCCAGTTAGCCTTAGACTATGCAACCCAAATCTCTCTGTGATCATGACAGAAATACAACCACAGCGGGCCGGCGCTAGGCTAGCCCAGGAATGAATGGATATTAATGCAATCGCAATCGCGCCATCCCTCGCTCGGCGCACTGGGCATGCGAGCGGATGGCTCGTCATCTGTGTCCATCCCGGCGAAGCATTGCACCTCGCGCACCCGCCGCAAAAATAAAACTAAAACTAAACCATAATAACGCCGAACTCAATTGCACACACCCGTTCTACGCCCGCACAATAGAAATATCCCATATCAAGCCAACCCCTCGATTTCTCAGGCGGTGATGAGTGCTCTGGGCATCAAGGAGCGCGATCGGCGTCAATTCACTTCTAATTCTTTTCGGGTTCACTTCTATCGCCGACCCGAGCAGTGCGGGTTCTCACCGAAATAGGGCTTGGCCATGCTTATTTTTTAGAATGGTATAGCCGCCGTCGGTGCGTGAACATGGTGAGGAGGCCTGCTGACGTCCAGCATTCAATTGGCGGCTTTAGGGCCCTCTATGCGGGCCGTGGTTGCGTTTAAATTTTTTAACTTTGAATTTGGGGCCCTGTGCTATTCATTCGGGCGGCTCTGAGTGTCTAACATGCATGCTACTGCAACAGACAATCAGTGCTGTTTGGGCCTCTTCGGACGCACTACACGTCGAAGGATACAGGTGTTCAAAAAATACCGCACGTCGATGTCGACGTCCAGGCCCAGGGCAGAGATGTCGATGTCAATGTGGGTCGCGCTGCAGCCGTCACGGCCGAGCCCAGTGAGCATGGGACGCCTCGCCGGCTATGCCCCCAGCGCATGCCGGAGCCCAACGCCCGCCCTGCAATTGGGCGGCGGCGAAACGTCTGCGCACTGCGGCGAAATCCCAGAATAAGCGCGGGAATGTTAGTCGGGGCAGGCAGACGCAAGAGCCGGGTTCGCTGCGCCGAGCTGTGCATCCGAAGGGAATGACGAGCGTCGGGCTCGGAGGCCGTGATAGCGTGACCGCTGTGCACCGGGACATTCTGGGGTAAATGTAACTAAATAAATCGAGACGGGGGGCGCAGAATGGACTCCTGCGAAGCGTGATTCGGGCTCGGAGAGTGCATGTCCGTGGCAGCGTGGGCACCATGCTCCATGCGGGGAAAATCTGGGGTAAATGCATAAATAAATGGTGGACGGGTTGCGCCTGACCTATGCACACCCTGGCGTTCGGTCCCGGCCAAAGCGATGGTTCTCTGTGATAGTATATCTATGCCTCAAGCGCATTGAAGGTATTCAAGCTCTTCCTACGTGCGTGAGCGATTCGGGAGTGCGACTCCGGGAGATTCGCAGGTCTCCTGTTGAAATGAAGTCTCAGCTAACTCAGCCTAAGACGCCGGATTCATGCTTGCCGGTGAAGGGAAAGAATTGGCGTCCCGTGAGCAGATGATAGGGGCTGTGAACCAAGAATGCACGAAAGAAGTGGGCCTAGGCCCTGGGAGGGCTCGGGCGGCTGATAAGAAGCCGTGGTAGGCGCGGAGAAATTTCTCGATCAAGGTGGTTTTTTACTGAATGCAGGTTCAAGAATTATTGGGATGTATCCAGCGCGAAGAACGGAGCGGATATCGACAAGATCGGACGGGAAGGGGCATCGAGATCCAATCTATAGGTTGCTTGTTATTTTCCTTACGAATTCAGCGGATGGACATACGGTATTCTTCCTGCATGCCATTTCGGCAAAACCGCCCAGAAGGTCGGGGTCATGTACCACTTTAACGCCACAAACTCTGTGGCGACGCAAGACACCGGGAGTCTGGATCTCTTAGTGTTCTGCAGGAAGTCCCGGAGGCAGATCTTGTTTTCAGGAATCCAATCATCCTTCGCCAGAGGGTTCGGGGCGGAGGGGCGTGGCAGCGTGGGACGTGGGATGAACGGTTCCCACCCCGCAACAGATCGGATGTCGGTGCGAGCGCTAGAGAAATGAGTGACCGTTAGGAAAATCTCACTGGGGCAGACCGTCGAGAATGAGTCTCTTGTCGCCAAATCAACAGCATCCCGCCCGACGCCGTGATACCCGCGTCTCCCACAGCCATTCTGGAGGCCTGTTCAACGCGGGTGCGATGTGATATATCCAGCCATCGCGCGCACTGCCAGGCGCGCGCCACCGACTCCCACACCGAATAAGCGCACATGAAACTATAACGTGCCAGGGATTGGGATCGCCGCATGTCTGCTCTTATTCATCGATGGAGCTTGCGCGCCGCGTCCAAAATATGGTGGACTGAGATGCTATGATATCCGAGCTGCCTTGAAAGATGAAGGCGTTGATAGACCTATGAGCGCCGTGATGGAGTCCTCCTTTTGTGCACCGCACGCCGTAGCGCTGAACGAGGCACGATTGGGCCCGGCGTTCCCTCGATGATGGGCCGCAGATTCTCCGTGCGTGGGCCTGAGCTAAGTTAGATGCTCAAGTTCAGGCTGCTACAATGGTCCGGGCGATCGATATGCCAGAGACGTGAATAGAGCGGAGAGAGGGGTCTGGGCGCGCAGGCTGCGGGCTGGGAGTGGGAGAACCTTGGTTGGTGAGAGGAAATGTTTAACTTCGTCCTCCTCTGGGACGAGTCAAACCGTAGTCAGGATTTAGATTCCGGAAGCCACGGCAGTTAAGATGATACTGCGAGTACAGTTCTTGTCTCGAAGAGTTCAACCAACGACACGTGAGAAAAAAATGAGGCGCAGTGAGAGAATAAATCCAACTGGAGCCCAAGGCAGAGATGTGCTGCGAGATGGGCTTGACTGTCGGCGCTAAGGCGGCCGTGGTCGACTGTGACCACGTCGTGTTGGTGGGAGGCATCCACCATAATCTGTAGCCTGAGACGGGTTGAAGAGCGTGAAAGTGCTGGGAGGAAGCGCCAAAGACAAGGCCTAGGCGCGAGAAGCCTGAGATTTCGTCAGAGATTCGGAGGCGTTGGCTTGCGAAAATGTAGGGTCTAGATTCAACAGATATCCGAACGAAGGCTTCTGATGATATTCCGAAGATCTGGACCCAGACGTTCTGAGCAGTTACCAGTCAGGCCACCCCAAACTGCATCCTTCACGAGGTTTCTGGGCGGGGATTGATAAAAATACTCAAGGCCACAGGGCAAACGTTGAAAACGTTTGGCATGCTGGATGGCACGAGTTGAGTTCACCCGATTTGGCACCGGCACGAGACCGCGACAGCGTCGGACCCGACAGGCGGGGCCCATTGTATGTTTTGAACAAGGTCAGTCCGTCACGAGGTGCCAGGCGGTTCCACACTCGAGTTGACCTGGTAAAATTGATATTGCCTTGATATCGCCAGTCTAGTGATGCCCGTAGCCTGGCTTGGTCTGAAAGCGGGGGCTTTGGCCTGGCTTGAGCGGGCCTGGGCTTGCGATTCTTCAGGCCAAAGCCCAAGCCCTCTGGTAGGGCTTGGCCTGGCCTGGCTCGGGCCTGAGCCGGGGCCTGAGTAGGTACCGCCGTCGCCGTCGCATTGGACCATATAGACCTCCATACAAGAGATGTTGAAGAGATGTGAGTGTTATAATATATTGAACGAAGGTAATAAATACCTTCCATGCACATCTTCGAGCCTTTATAGCTAACTTAGGATCTCATAGACTACGCGCGAGCCCAATTTTCTTCACACAATGTCGAAAATGGTTCAAAATGTTGTAAATCCGTAGGGAAGAAATAAACTTGCAAGTTCAAGCACATTGAGCTTGGTT